AAGTGCAGGTGAAGGTAGAGCTTTTCCACCACGAAGCTGCAGCTCCCGTACATCAGGAAGGACCACAGGGACGTGTGGCCGCTCATGGTCCGATCAGACTTCTCCACGAGGTTGAAAACTGAGGTGAAAATCACTTCGTCCAGGAAGCCGTGCATCCCGAAGAACAAGAAACGCAAGAAGCCCGGGAGACCGCGAAGAGGGCCCCGAACGCGACCTCTGTCCTCCGGGGCGGGTGCGCTGGGGGGGTCGGGGTGGCAGGAGGGGTGATACTGCAGCCGAGACAGCCCTCTGTGAAACACCTGGGCAAAATACAGAGCCAGGATGTAGTGCACTGCCAGCTGCGTCCCGGACACCACCCTCACCTGCTCGGTCAAAGTGTTGATGTTCCCGATCAGGATCTGCAGCCCGATGTAGACCGACGGGTAGAAAATAAGATGAAACACCACAGGCCGACCACGGAAACACCTCTTCTGTGAGTAGATCTTCTCCAGCGCAAAGTGGGTCAGTGAATGCATAATGCAAAGATACGGAGAGGAGAAGCCCACCAGTTTAGGGTCCCGATAATTCAAAACCCCCTGCAACGACGAGAGCAGGACATCCAGAGTCACGCCGTGCATCCCGTAGAAGTAAAGCCGCATCCATCGCGGCAGCTCCCGCAGCGACTCCGCCGCGTCCTCGGTCTCTCCGGACGGTTCTTGTTGGCGGGGCACTCGCGTTGTTTTTAGGCCACCGGCGGGGTCTTCTGAGCGGCCGCGGGGACCTTCCTGCCACCGACTGGCCATGATCAGTCACTCTGTCTGGAGAGATTCAGTTGTCTCTCTCTTCGTGCACATTGTTTGCTGTTATGTTCCGGTGCGGCCGCACAGTGCAGCGACCTGGGGCTGCAAGCATCTCCTGCGCTGTGTGCAGAGTGACTGCTGCCTTCAGGGGCGCCCCGGAAAAACCTGTGTTTGTGGCACCCAGCTTGAGAGGATTTAAAGACGCCTTGTTGACTTTTCTTGTAAACAAACACAAGTTCTGTTGACATGTTGCTTCTCACCAAAACACACTGTGCTGCTGTATTTAGTGTATGTCCGTCCTTATAAGACATTTGCTAAGCCTACTTTAAATTGGCCAATGGCCACTTGTAAAAGCATAGCTCCATAGCGCCACTAGTGGTTAAAAAGACTCCACCAAAGACCTTTAAATGGACACAATTGGAAACAATATCAGGCTATGGTAACATTTTTAATGGTTGTTTTAGTTTTCAACCCAAGTATTAGAACATTAGCTTGACTAGTAGTCAAAATAACACTATGATAATACAGTACTCTTCCTGCTGTTATAAATAGTAAATAGATTTAACAGTATTGATAGTAAATGCAGCAATAATAAAGGTGTGAATCTTAAGTGTGATTTCTCACACATGCTGTCGCTGCTCTGGGTCGTCATTTGCGTCGATATAACAAGGTTCCTAAATGTCCAACAGCACTTGAAGGCAGCATGAGAGAGCGCCAGAGGGAGGAGGCGGTGTATCTGTGGTGTAGACAGGACGGTTTGGGCTCTGACGCGTTCATTAATTGAGCTCACGTCCCCCTGCGACGTCCTGACGCTGTTTAACTACGACTCATTAATAATAATTACAGCAGATTACTCTGCTGCTATGATAGACCAATATCGGTCCTCATTAAACTCATTTGCTGAATTAAAACGAAGTAAACTAATCCATCATCTTTGATCAGAATTAACGAATCACCCCATCATGGGTACCTAGAGACTGTGACTAAAGATGGATAAGAAGATAGATAGAGCCTGTATGTGTTCAATTCATCATCACATCATTTAAGTGACAGTGTCTGTTGAGGCATTCTGCATGAAGTGGATACAGGCCACTCACCACATCTCTGACTACATCTGCTTTTTGGTCACTACCTTGCAACAGTGGCACTTTCATAAACTGTATGTCTACAGTTAAACCATATTACTGAGAAGACAGCTATTCCAGCAGGACTGTATAGACAATATGCTGAACAGATACTGAATATACAGTGATTTGATTCTAAATTATAACCAAATCAATTATTATGATGAGGATTTAAAAGTGTATAGTGACACATGATGAGCTATAAGCAGAATATTATGCAGGAGCAGCAGTTTCATATACCCCGGGGACTTTCATGCAGAGGCATGTCTGATACAAAACAGATGTGGTACTACTACAGTGGTGACAGTCTAGTGCAAAAGCTTCTAATACATATAACATTATAGTGTCTGACTGTGAGATTGAAGAGGGTAAAACTTGTGTGAGTTATGTACTTGATCCCTTTAAACTTCTTCTGATTCTGGCTTGCATTTACAGTATAGGTTCACATACAGGTGAGAAGGCTTGCAGCACACCTGGGTACCACAGAGGGGCAGCATTGAGAATGTGTGGCCAAAATAGTGACAGATACTGAAGATACAGTTCATTTTCTACAAAGGGAACTGAATGCAGTTTTCTGTTAAGTGAGTCTGTCTGTGTGTGTGTGTGTGTGTGAGAGAGAGAGAGATATGGTGCACTGTGGTGTCACTCATCTCTTCTTGAGCTGCGTCTTACTGGTTCAGCTCTGGCTGTGTTTCTGGCTGGTGCGCTTTGTGTAGAGGATGGAAGGATTGGTGTGTGCTGAATGCATGCACTAGTGTTAGTTTGTGTGTTTGTCTGCCTGCTGAGAGAGTGCGAATGTTTGTGTGTGTGTTTGTTCTACCTCTTTGAACAGTCTTTCACGGTTTCACAGTGTACATTTAACAGTATCTGTTTGCACTTCGTGAGTGTCAGCATGTCTCTGTAGGATCTAGTTTTGTGTGCTCACACTGTTTTTGTGTGTGTATTCGTGTGTGTGCATTTTTGCAACTGTTTTTGGTATGTGGGTGCGTATGCATAGTGTGTGTGTGTGTGTGTGTGTGTGTGTGTGTGTGTGTGTGTGTGTGTGTGTGTGTGTATGTGTGTGTGTGTGTGTGTGTGTGCACTCAGAGGAAATAGAGATATCAGTGCTCTTTCTGGGCCACAGAGATAACACTGTGTCTCTGCATGGTTTAAAACTATCAGAATCACTTCTGCACAGAATAAACACACTCAGTCGTGACCCAGAACAGCACAGAAAGCAGGAAAAATGTTCAAATACATTGTGTCAAATACAGAATATAGATGAGATATGACCCTCTCTCTCTATCACACACACACACACACCTCTTATATTGCTATAGTACATTTCTAAACCTCCACTAAGTGCACTGCTGCAGGTAATGGCGGCCATTATTCTTCAGGTGGAGCATGTTGACAGAAGCCTTTATACATCAATAATTCATTACAGCATTTATTGTACAACATAATGCAATTATTTTAAACAAATTAGATTATCACTGATATTACCAGTACACCCAGAACATCTAAATCTAATATGAAACATCAAGGTATTGAATGACACTCAGCATGAAGACAGACCTGGCAAAGATGAATCAGACAGAAAAATTAGTTTCCTTATTTATAATCTTAAAATTTATAATCTTAGTTTTTTTTTAATAATGTTCTGTGCAGTGACGCCAGCAGCAGAGATAGAAGAGGTCAGAGCTTCCTCGTATATTAGATTCCTGTGTGTGCTATTTTACACTTTCATTTCATCTATCAAAGGACGTAGCCTGACAAATATCCATTATTCCATGACAAGAAAGTTAGAGTAAAATGAGGAGAATTGATGTGTGAATACATTTGTAGTTGAGATATAAAATGTTTTTGCAGAGCTGAAAATGATCTCATGATGTCGCAAAGTTATTTTGCAACCCATTGGGTGGTGGCGATACAAACTAATCCTATCCTCATGTCTTATTACTGTCTTTTATTCAGATGACTTCCAGACTCGATGTTGTACAATGGCTCTATTATCATGAAGCACGCAAACAGTGGAACATTACACTGAATAGAAGACAAACAATGAAACGTGCAAATTTTCCCTGTGTGCTGGATGTTTTCTTTGTACCGATGTGTGACAAGTTTTAAAACAGTTTTATTGTGAGAAGATGATTGTGATCTTGATATTTCATGGTCATTACTCATGACAGTCTGTCCGTCAGTCGAACATCTGCTCGTCCCTGAGTTTGAGTCTCCATGTTGATCAGATGAAATGCTGCAGACCTTGAGTTTCTGTCCCACAGACAGCTGGCCTTCTCTCTGTGTCTCTCTGTGCATATTTTGTGCATTTTAATGTGTTTTCGTGGATTATAGTTAGCTGAGTGTTGGATGTTAGAGAGATACAATAGTGCAGAAAATGCAAGAGACACTATGATTCCTGGCTGTAGAGCAGCATATTCGTTACATCAGACCATAAAAGTGTATCATCCCATTTACACTTCATACAATCTATTTAAATTGAAATATTCATCCAGAAATAAAAAAAATGTGTCCAAAAAGCCCTTTTTGTGTTGCTTCAAAACATTGTTTCCTTGGGCTTAAACACTAGATGGCAGCAGTGTGACACATTTCCCTGGCTTGGGTGGGCCCCTTTGACTTGGAGATGTTTTCATTCACAGAAACAAAATAATACTATTTTACATGGTGTGCATTTCAATGCATAGTGGTTATATGCGCGTACCACTGATGGCAAATGCATAACACAGATCTATAATGCGTGGCCCAGATAGCCATGATACATTATTGTGTATGCATGGTAGCCTTGCACTCCTACTTATCACCGTGTGCTGATTAAAATGTTAACAACGGAGGATCCAAGCTTATTCTACTGCTGGTGTCATTGTATGTCGTTCACATGAGAGTGCCATTTTAAGCCTGAACATGTTCATTTATTTTCTGAAGGGTTTCAGACCGTATATTTCAGGCTCTTGTACATTTACAAGGGGCTCTTGTAAATGTACAAACAGATAAATTATATTAGGTGCTTCACAGCCTCTCCTCAATTGCATTTAAAAACATTTTCTCATCAAATGTCCTGTTAGGCTCATTATAGTTTGTGAGAGGCTGTAAGATGAAGCTATGTGATGTTTGATTGATGTGACGCTTGACTGAATCCCACAGGAAATGAATGTGAGTCTGCAGTCATGCACTTAAAATGAGAACCTCTGAAAATGTAATTTCAGAACCCATTTCCTCCAATTTGAGCCATTATTGAATGGACTGCTGGCCCCATGCGCTCGCATTGTCTCATATGGTCAGGTTGGGCAGGATAATGTGTTTGTGTGTGTGTGTGTGTGTGTGTGTGTGTGTGTGTGTGTGTGTGTGTGTGTGTATGTGTGCTCAGTGTATGTGTGTGTGCGTGCTCAGTATGTGTGTACTGCAGTGTGTGTGCCCATAATCGAATGCTGTGCTTTCATAATTTCCCCCTAGTTTTTACATGTGGCTTGTTTGTTTTAATTTTAAACATTTCAATGCTAGTGTGCGCCTGTTGCTTATATGAGAGAGTCTATGTGTGTGTGAATGTGTGCTCCCTCCAGAGATGGGAGGAGGAAGAGGGGGAGGATGAAAAGAGGATAAAGATCAGTCTCCTCGATAGGAGGTTTGCTACTATTCCCGCGAGTAGTTCGGGCTCTTGTTTGCAGCTCCCTCATTAGGAATTCTGTGCAACCCAGAGACCCTCGGAGGGTTAACCCGGTCACACGGCAACACAACACCCTGACTTACCCAGCCTCACCTATAGCCTCACCCTTCTCTACTCTCCTTGTCTCTCCTCTAAAGGCTCCCTCCTCTCCTCTTCTTCTGATATTGTAATTCATTGATGTCTGGCTCACCCTCACACTCTCCCATCTTGTATTCAGTCGCCGCCTCTCCTCCACTATAATTTTATGAACCACATCTTCTCCAAGTCTGATGGTAATATTTTTTTTATATATAATATATTCATCTAATACTACTTGGATAATGCTGTTGTTAAAGTCTTTTAACTGTCCTCACCCTTTCCTCTCCCTGAATTTATTTTTTCATATTCTTACTTCTCCCTCTCACACTCTCCTGTGCAAGCCCCAGTGGATCTACTAGTGTAATTAATCTGTGCCTTCGACACCCCTCTTCACCCATCTCATTCTCTCGCTTATCCTCTCCTCTTCTCTCGTTTCATCTCCGTGCTCCTCTCGGCAGTAACCTTAGCGACCCTCCTTTTAACCTTGTCATCTTAAATAACCCTCTCACCACCTCCTCCTCCCTTTTATATCTCTTCAACCTCACTCTAACCTTCATTTCCTCCTTTTTTTCACCTTTCAACCCACTTACCGCCCACCACATAGCTTTTGTCTTTAGTAAAGAAAAAAAATATCTTTTCCTGCTTTTTCCTCACACATTCCTCACACAAGTGCAGTCTCGTAACCTCTCACGCCCTCTTTTTCAACCCTTTTCTTCTTGCTTCCTTTACATAAAGTCCTTGTGCTTTTGAACACCTGCACAGAACTGAAACTTTTCTATGCTCAAGGTGGAAAAATAAATTGCATTGAGCCTTTATGTCATCACTGCATTATGACCAAGGTTTGGATGGAGGCTCACATAACTTTTCATGAATTCAAAGTTCTCTCAGTTGGATAAAAGCTTCCACCTCAAGTGCTGTGCATTAAAGTACAGTTTTCAAGATCTCAAAACTTTTTTTGTTGTTGATATTGAACTTTTTAAACAACATTCAGTCATTCAGTTTATTTAAATTCTTTAATTACTTCTCTGTATAGTAGTTGTTCTTGTTAGTGGCAGAGTCCGCCATTCCCATGCTGGATTGATATTGCCTTTAAACGCACAGGGGATTCACAGGAAACGGTGCATGCAAAACAGCTTTTCGGTTTTTGATTGTTTTTCACTAATATCTGTTTACTTCTGCTCTCCCACAGCCGTATCAGAGTAACTGCTGATGCAAAAATCAAACATTTAGTGCTCCTGCTGCTTCATATTAAAAGCATTCAAGTGGCAAAACACAGGGTGTTTTTGTTATTGTGAAGCAGTAACAGGGGACGCAGTGCGTCACCCGAGTTGGCCCTGACCGCAATCACTCACTTTGAACTTTGCACACCTTTCATAACCTCTCATTCCCCCTCCAGATGTGTCTAAACCCCATTTTACCTTTTGACCTATGCCTTCCTCTTTCAACCTTTTCTGTCAGATAGTTGTAAATTTCTCACGTCTTTTGTTCCCCTTTTGACCTTTGTTCTGCTCATCCAAATTACTTTCCCTCAAACCCCCTTCCTTTATCTTCTGCTTCTCTTCTCTTGTCCTCTCCACTCCTCTGCGTGTTTAATCAGCTCAGAGAAAACCTAGTTAGTTAACTCAGTCCAGCACTCCAGATGCCCTCTGTGTACCTGTTGCCAGACACTCTCTGTCCTCTGCTGCCTCTGGCTTTTTATGTGGACCAACTCCTCTCTCTCTCTCTCTCTCTCTCCCTCTCTCTCTCTCTCTCAGTCTAGACAGTCAGAGCTGCCGCAGCAGAGGATGGCATGATTTCATTTTACTCGCCTGAGTTAGTGCTCTGGTGAGGAAAAAAAGTGTCTTGTTCATGATGGGACTACTTGTGTAAAAATTGGAAGAAAAGAAGGTCGATAGACAGACAGACAGACAGGCAGGCAGTACTATGGGCTATTGTGAGCATTTGTGCATCCCGTCCATTTTGTTTACCATCTTCTGTACACCCCGGGGGGGGGGGGTGGGTGGGGGGTTCTGGAGATTGTAGCCATGGGATACCGAAACCCTATGAACGTGTGTCATATTTTGATTGGTTCAGCCTGCCACCGGCTGGGGCATGTATTAGACCTGTGGTGATATGGATATGGATCATTGATGATGCTCCTTGTCTCGCACTCTTTCCGCTCTTGGTCTCTATGTTGTCTGTCTGTGTGTTCCCCTCAGCCTGTTTATCTCTCTCTGCTGCGTTTTCGAACAGTACAATCCCTGTCTGTGTTTTTCATTGTCCACTCAGACAGTCGGAGAGAGACAGGCAGAGACAGAGAGGCAAGGAGGAGGAGGAGATTGAGAGTTATCAGTACGATGGGTGATGGGTCAGTGCTGTGTGTGGATGTGTAGACAGCCAGTGAAAGCAGAGCGTAGGATGTTGTTTATTAACTGTGGCGCCAGGAGGTAAACAGCAGGTGGGTTGTCTGCTAGGCCTCGGCTTTACCTGATCCTTGACCTGTGACCTTAAGAGTATTTTAGTAATTCTGTGGTTCTTCTATCCTCTGTTAGGTCAGGTGAGGTTAATGGTAAATTGTAAGTTTGAATGTGTCTTCTTCTGTTTTACCCAATGCATCCTGGGATAGGCTTCATCCTGAAAATGATAAATGGTTTAAGAAGAACGAAACTGAAGCATGGTTGAAGTGATGTCCTTTTAATAGTCTGCAGCATTTTCATATGAATATAATATAATGTCGGTTACAGTAATAGAATATGGAAACCAGCCAAAACTCAGTTACCTTTTATATTTGATCAAAATCAAAATAACACATAGAGAAATACAGCTTTTGTTTCTGTAGAAGCTGCTGAAAGAATTAGAATGTTTTATTTGTATTACATTATTAACAGAGACTACTTAATTAAGGTATACCTAGTTAAACATTATATACATTACATTATACATTATATATATTTGATCTTATTCTCATAAGAAATAATTTAGCACACAATCACCCAGTCCCTTAAATGACAAATCCATTTTGTCATAAAGTATCACTTTCCAAGAGAAATGTACCTCTATTCTCAGTCTCTAAAGCCTATTCTTAGCACAAACTTGTGTGTTTGATGATCATAACAACTGCTTGGATATGGAAATAAGACACTGTGTTCAACTTCATGAAGTCAAAATGCCTCACAACCCTAAAATAAAGTTGCTACAGTAAATGAAGACGTATGTCAAGATGTGACTTGCCTTGGTCTTGATGGAAATTTTCAATGAGGAAAAACAAAACAAAATAAAACAAAACCTTTCCCCTAATGAGGTCCCCTGGCGGCCTGCCTACACGGGTTAACAAAAGAAATTCTCCTGTGGATTTTCTTGAATGTTTCACCCTGAAACTTGGATTTTTTGCTCTTTGTTTTTTTTACTGCAGGAAAAGCTGTGAGGTGGGTTAGGAAGAGGTCATGCTGTTATAGATGCGTCTGACTTAACAGACAACTTAACTATAACTGTATTTTTATATAATTTAGGTTTAGTACCAAAGGCTAATGGTTGTGTGCTGCTCTTTCAGTCTAGTTTAGCATGAATAAATCATTAAATTGATCATTTATCACCCTTTCTGTGATGTAAAAATGAGAATCATAGTAATATTTTTTCTGTAGGCTTCCCATTTATTAAAATTGGCTTCTTGTCTGATTTAAATCAATGAGTGACTGTAGGCGAGCCTCAAACAGAGGCTCATTGCGTTAACATTATTCACAAATGACCAAAAAGACTTTTTACAATCTCTTTTACATGAATAATTGGGGGCTGATCATTACTTCCGCTAAAACAAAATGATTTTCAAAGTCATTAAAATGATTGCTTCAGAATGAATGTAAATCATGCAAGCCGTGCTCCTATGTGTTTCCTTACAGGTGATTTCCTGAAGGAGTCTGTCGCTCTATAAATAATCAGCGTGTCACATCTCTAACGCTACTTTCCCCAAGGAACTAATGTTTATGCCTTGTATCTGCTCATAAGAGCAACACTCGCTTCCTCATTTGTCTTTCTGTGCATTTGCCTCAAGTCATCTTTCTTTATCCTTTCAATTTAGCTTAACCCTTAACAACTCTCTCTTTCCTTCAGTGCTTTTGACTCTTCCTTCCTCTATCCATTTTCTCTTGCTTGTGCCTCAGCTTTGTATTTTGGGGGTTAGCTATGAGATTCAGCTCCTCCTTAGTGACTGCTCCCTGCAGTGCTGCTGAATGTTTAACATGATGCAGATGCTGCATCCTCTGGTTGTATTTGCATACAATTTGTATGGAGGTGGTCACTTTCACGCATTTTCTATCAGCAAATTTCTGTTTTACAGTGTTACAGTACAGAGGTGGGTAAGGGTTCTGTATGGCCATATTTATTGAAGATTTGTAAATTAAAGGTCATTAATGGACAATAACACAGCTTTGAGAAATTAGTTTACAATTTTTGAATATTGTGAGGTTTTCAATTTGAAATATAGAAATAATGCCGTTTCTCCTACTTAGAGGACATTATTGTACTGTATTGACCTGTGACTGCCCTGAACACACCATAATGCAGTCTCTTTTTTCAGTTGAGAACTTTATCTGTTAAAAATCTAGTTGTAAGTACACATTTGATCGTATTCATTGTTTCCTACACGGCATTGGAACAGTTGAACATTAGCAGAAACAGAACAGCTGCTGAACAGTGACTGACTCTTGTGCTAAACCATTACTTCTGACTACAGGGGACACATAAATATGTTTCCAAAGGGCAAATGATGTTGCAGGAACAAATAAAGACACACAATTTCCTCACAAGTGCCATTAGATTTTCATCTAGTTACGGTACAGTTGCTGTGAGACTGCAAAACGTGGCCACAGGCTATGCTTGAGGAGCAGAAACTGCATCTATTTTTTAGTGAAAGTAAGATTTTGCCCATGAATGAAATAAACCATGTGATGAAGCTTAGACCTGTGCACAAAATGTACAAAATCAAATTATCTTATGTGGATTTTTCTTCCTTATAATAGATCCTTCAACTCAATTGCTTCATTAAACGATGAGTGAGATTGTTGGAGTGCTTCCACCTGTTTTATCTGTGAAGATGACAAATATAACAGCTTTAAAAATAAAACAATGTATGTGTATTGTGCATTTAAAATTTCTTTGCCCGGCCCATCACAACAGACACTCGACCCTTGTGTTCATGCTCATTACACTCATTATTCTC